CTTCTCCATACACATCGGATAATTTTTTTCTTGCTTGAACAGCATTTTTACCTTTTCGATAGTAAAAAAGTAAAATATGCCGAAAATGCTGCTTTTCACTTTCCATATTTGATAGGGCACCAACCAAAAACTACTGCGTAGAATCAATCGAACTTTTTTCACAAGCAAGCCTTGCTATATCAGCTGTCAAAATATATAATGATTATGCGGCTTAAGTGTGAAGTTGGCTGTGAAAAAATACAATTAAGTCCTCTGTTGGGAAAAAACGAAATTACTTTCTGAACAACCCAATATATACGTCAAAGGGAAATAACATAATTTCTTGTTTCTCTCTGTTTCGTAGATATTTATATTATACATGGATATACGCAACGACAGATACCATGAAACAAAAACGAAACTCACGGTACGATATATGATTCCAACTGGTTAGTTTAATAAAAGCGATGTTGGCTTTATCTCTCGTGCTTATCGCTACAGGATTATATGATTTAGCCAAATCATGTAATCTGTGCAAATTCTACGTGACTGAACCGATAAATAATTTCGTCTTCATTCATGTTTTATCTGTCATATAACCGTTATATCGAATTTTTTCCACGTCAGTAAATGTTTGAAATAAAAAAAATTTCGATTTCTACTTTATAATTCGAACATTATTTACATCTGCACAAGTCTCATTTATTTATCGTTTTTCTGTAAATCATAACAAAATATATTTGACGTATTTAATTGTGATATTAATTATATCATAATTAAATTGTTAATTATATCATAAATTGTTAATTTACAATTTAATGCAGTTCTTTTTGCATTTATTTACGAGAACGCTCAAAGTGAGAAATTCTCCGCTGAATAGTTGAAACGTTTAAATGCGCGCACTCTTTTTTCTGCATGTGCAATAAATCGTTACGAGCACTTACAACTGATAGAAACTTTAATAGATGATGATTTGAAAGTATTCACGCGAAAATGAGATCGTACCATTCGCGAAATTCTCAACATTGAAAGGTTCGAGATGCCGACAGACATTTTCAAGTTTCATCATTTCGTGCATATTTCAGTTTGCTTCCGCTTTGCTTTATTTTTATCTTTTTATCGGAACAGCGTACATTTGCTAGTATACCTTTCCTCTTCACTTATGTTAAATGTGATATTACTTTTAACACCAAATATCAATAAATCTTCTATTCTATTCTCTATTTTCGATTTCTTATCTTTCAAGCTTTACGACATATTTCTTAATTTTCAACAGATTGTACTTTTTCTTTTTCTACTTATGACACAATTGATTTAAAAAAGAAACATACACTTATTTATACACAATTTAAATATCTATTTTATTTATACAATTAAAAATTATTTAATCAAATATATTACAGGTTTTTGTTTTATATGTAACTAAGTACACTGTGTTTATAATTTATGTGTATATAATTTATCAGACGCCTCTCGTACGCGCAAAGTTCTAATTAATGTTTCGTTAATTATCATTTATCTTTTCTTGGAATAACATTACTAAATGAAAATTATGCCATTCTTTAACTGGTAATTAATTATCTCGCCGACACCGAGAATAAGATCGAATTACTAATAAATGTACAAACTCAAGAGCCATGGTGTGTTAATAAAGACTGAATTACAGCTGTTTTACGTTCGCAAAGTGAACTAAAATAATGAAGAACATTAAGTCCTCTCGCTTTACCTTTTCAGCGCAAGTATACGTGATGCATCGTGTAATATTAAATTTCGTTCGAAGTTCGCTTAAATATTAACTTTGTGTATGAAATATTAGCGGAAATATCAGCGGAAAACACATAAAAATTATTTTGTCTGAGATAGCGAATGTAAACAATTAATTTTAATTTAATAGTTTTTTATTTTAAAACATGTCAACTCCACTATTTTTAATTAGCGTAAATTAAATTAATTAATTAAATACCGTAAAGTATAGTTGACATATAAATATATTTTGATTAAATTTTTATTTCATCTAAATTTTATCTAATTCCTACCGGAAAATGATTATTGCTTTATTGGTCTTACACGAATAAAACACAGATCTGAAAATAATGTTATTGAACCATCGAAATAATTAGATATGTTAAAAACTATAAAATGATGGACGATGTTGCAAAAAATTTCGACATTCTAGCAATCAGTATGAATTTCTAATAAAATTATTTTCTGGTCCAATAAAATTATTTTCTATATTCAGTAAAATTTTATATATTTAAATTTTTAATTTTAGATATTTAATTTTAGATATTTTAATTCTTTCTATGTGCTTAATCAATTAATGACACCTATTCAAAACATCATAATATAAGTTATGTTAAATAATTTATGTTAAAAGTTATAATTTAAAAAATGAGATTCAACGAATATATCGTTAAAGTAAAATCTCATTTCGTAATTAGAAGAATTATAGCAATTAATCCGATATTTATACGGACTAATTTTTACTATATCAAGTCATTCGAAATGAGAGAACTGCGCATTCGCGATAAGATTCTTGCTGATTCGAGCTCCTCACACGGATTTATATTCGCTCGAGTCGACCGCCGCCATGGAAATATTCAGTTCAATCGTACGATCTGTAGGTCGATAAATCCGCAGTCGAGGGGGCTGACCGAGATTGAGTCATTAGTTACGGGGATAAGACTAATGACCCAATCCCTCGAACGCGATAAATCAGTTTCCCAAGCGGGTGAACTTATTCGGCTTACATCGGCCAACCCGCTGTAACCGAGTGTAATGGCGAACATTCAGCCTGAGGTACGAGTAACGTACTGGCGGGCAGCGTGTAGTAAATTCGCAGTTATGAGCTGGTTCTGGGAGTACTCCCGCCAGTGATTTACGTGGTACCATACGGCTGACACGGTAACGCGTTTAACGGCGTTACGTCTCGAGTGTCACTTCGAATGGAGAATTAATACCGTGATCCTCCGTGGATCATTCCCTCAAAATCTCAGGAAACTTCGTCCGTCCGTCTTGCCTTTCCTAATTTGTACTCAAGACTTATTTAAACGTTATCGTGCTGCATCATAATAAATATTTTGCTAAGATAAAATATCTGAGAGGGGACTAGCAACATCTTATCGTAAAATTATTTTACCTACAATTCATTTGACACGTTCATTCGATTTCGCACGTTTCTTCGCGATTAATTATTATCTTAGCGTATGCAAGATCACGTTTACGCCATTAATTCTTGTCTCAGTAAGTGCTTTCCGACAAAATGATAATATATATTAAAGATATTATGATATTCGATCCAGATAATACATGATTCATCTAAAGTATATGTATATTTTTCGACGGAAGCGTTACTGTTATTTTCTTAATTATTTAACTCTTACGTAATGGCATATATAATCTTTATTTTGAACCGTTGCTAAAGATTATTTATTTTCTAAGATTCTGAATGATTAACGTAATTATCTACAAATCGATTACGCGAAATCATTTACACTTTTAGAATGTCTTCAGACAACTTTGTTAAAGATGAAATGAAAAATGTGTTTTTTCATCGTATTATACCAAGATGAAGTTTTCAATTTATTTTATATGTAAAAAAAGGATGGCTACGTATACCATATAAAAAAAATGTATAAAACACAATGACTTATTTTGGGATCATTATATTAGATTTATGATTCGATGTTAGTTTTAATACTTTAAATAATTGAAATAAATGAATACATATATAAGCACAATAAATACAGCGTAATAAAATCAATAAATAAATGCAAATGATGCACGATTATATATAAGCACAATAAAATTTGCAAAAACTTTTGCAAGAATCCTGGTGAATATTTCCTGGTGTGATAAAAATACATAATGTTTTGTCGAGAAATAGTTTTCAATTTGCAACGATTCAATTGAAGATTATTTTCTATTGTTATTGTGATCTTAAGATCACATTAACTGTTCCTATGTAACCGCAATTTATTACCATTAAGTACAGCTCATCCGAATGTACGTCGTAGAAAGATTATTTCGCATCACCGACGTATATGCGTTTTATACATGAAGATAATAAATTTTGCGGTTAGCCTTGCCAATTATCTCTTGTAGCTATTATTGCAACTATAATTACATAAATGTATCATACATGACAACTTTTATATATATATATACATATAAATTATTTTCCAATATCGATTTGTTGATTCTTCATCATGAATTAATTGATAACGACATTTGTAGAGGAGATTCACAGTTAATGATATGCAAAAGAATAATCTATTATATGATTAAATGTAAAATATTGACTTGTTATTACAAATATTGACTTGTTATTACAAATTTGCGAAAAAATTCGCTCGTTTTCTATTAACGTAAAAAATAAGCGTTCCAACCACAACTGAAATTTGAAAGTTAATTCCAATATGTGTAAATATAAAATTGAATTTTTTATCTTTAAAATAAAGAATGTATGTACGGAAACTATGTAGCATTATTGTTAACGTATATAAAAATCGTCTTTTTATTTAAACAACATGTATTCTTGTTTGAGAAAGCAAACGATTTCCGGTATGTAAGTTTTAGTCTTAGATAAATAACTTTAAATAGGATTTGGTTTGCCAATAAAATCATCAATGTAATTAAGACACCGAAGTTAATTAATTCTTTATAAATAGCGCATTATATTACAATAATATAAGAATTTTATTGCAATTAAATATTTAACACGCAATTACGGTTATTGAAAAGTTTTAAAATTACAGATTTTAAAAACAAAAATATCTTGCACTGTTCTTTGTATTGGTCAAAACATATATGATTATAATACTAAATATTTATGTGGATTGTATACAACGTTTATGTTCTTCTATGCTTTCTATTTAGACTCCTTTCTTATATTTATTTTTAAACTTCTCATATATGTTCCTTCACACCCTCGCATTCTTTTTCGAATTAGTAGTAGTCGTAACAGTGTAAGTAATGTAATGCGAATACGCAGTTTATAACGTATTTGCGTGTGTTCGATCATGGGAAGCACACGTATTTGTGTTCAATTGTGCGTCTATGTGACGTTCGTCGCCGCTATTGTCATCACAACTAACCGAGGTAAATCGTAAAGAAAAAACAATATCTCTATTTTCTATCGCTTCAGTCATTACGTTTTAATTATTTTTAGAACATAACACTTCCATATAAGATTAGTCAAATATTACATCGATAAACTGATAATATAATTAGTATTAGAAAAAATAGAAAACCTATGTTATTTGAATTAATTCGTTTATAATTGTTAACAACGTTTCGATATTTTCTTTTCCGAAAAAGACACATCTAAAGATATATTTGAATGCCCGGGTCCATTGATGTATTACAAGGATCTTAGGTGCACGCCAATATACGACGACAAGGACAATTGCCCGAAAAAGTTTAACTGTAACCATATCAAACTAAGATCTAGGAAAAAGTGTTACATCAACGGTCGTGTATATAAACCCAATCAATTCCTTTATGATAAAGATTCAAATGTTTGCGATACCTCATGCATTTGCACACTCTCACCTAATCGGAATCAAATGTAAGTATGACCTCAAAATAAATAAATTAAATTATTTCACCGTAAAATAGATAC